TTTTAGGTTAGACAACAAATGATCAAATTAGGGAATTAGGAACACAAGGTTATGACCAAACACCATGGCTTAATCATACTTTAGCTAGAATCAATCCGTTAATCTAATTGAACTTGGGAACTTATTTGCTTGAGTTATTTCATTCTTTCTTGTTTTATTTATTTTCTTTTTTCATTTCTATTTTGTGTAGGGGAAACAAATTGGATCATTCAATCACCAATCCTCGTGGGATCGACCTCGCACTTACATATGCTATACTACCAAACGGCTCGTGCACTTGCGAGTATCACAAGTTGAGGATGCAGCTGAATCCATTTTGGTGCAGCTGAATCGAAGCAACAAAATTGGATCATATTTTGTTGTACATGCATAATTAGACCGAATTTTTTGTACTATAAATCGAAGGCCGAAATGAACCGAAGTACAGAGCATGAGAAACCGTAAGGGGCTATTTTCGAACATATTATATTACAAAACGAGCAAGTATCGAAATTACCTAGTAATAGCCATTGTCCCATAATATTTAATAATAGACATAGGGTCATAATAAAGTATTCACTTGCTTTTCTTTGTGTTTGCACTATACATTATTTAGGTTTGCGTTTTTAAGGTATGTTTAGTTTGCCCACAGACGGTTTGCAGTTGCATTACAAACATGCAATTGCATGACGATGATACAATGCAATAGTGACTGTGCGCAAATCCCTAATAACGAAAATTAGATAATATGTTGTTGTACATGCATAATTAGACCTATTTTTTAACTATAAATCGAAGGGCGAAAGGAACCGAAATACAGAGTATGAGAAACGAAAAGGGGCAATAAAGTGAACATATTATATTACAAAATGGACCAATGATCTCACAAATTTAATCGTATCCATAATTTACATGGTTTTCTTTCTCTTTCGGGTACGTGAATAAACACTTTTATCACCTTTGCGTTTTTGGTTTGTGGGGTGTTGTTCTGCATCCGGATTACCCTTAGTTGCGGCCCCGTCCTCATCCTCATCCTCATCCTCATCCTCATTCTCATCTTCTTTCTCTTCGACCCAAGCTTCGTCTTCATTCTCCTCTTCATCTTCCTCTTCATCTTCCTCTTCTTCTTCCTGTTCTTCTCCATCTTCCTCTTCATCTTCTTCTTCCTCTTCTTCCTGTGCTTCTTCATCTTCCTCTTCCTCTTCCTCTTCTTCTTCCGATTCTGCCTCTTCTTCTTCCTCTTCCTCTTCTTCTTCCGATTCTGCCTCTTCTTCTTCCTCTTCCTCATCTTCTTCATGCTCTTCTGGTACCACAATTTTGGTCTTTCCTTTTTCTAACTATGTCATGTTTACATTTTGTGCGATACTCCTATATACAGCGAAACATTGACATATATAAATAATAAATTTTGTTCAATTTTGTTGTGCACACGAGTGATGATGGTTTGCATTGCAGAATGTAACAGATGATTTAAAATTGCAAAATTGAACATCTTCTAAATCGAATGGGGCAATGGAGGTAACAAACTTACATGTTCTGCATCATCAACTAAGACGTCTTTACTAATACCCGAACTTGCAATGGTTGTCCCTGTGGTGTTCTTCAACATCTCCTATTACAATATAACATCGATCATGTTCATTCTTGGTATGTTATGTTAATATAACATCGGTGATGTTTGTTAATTTTCTGAAATCACTATGAAATGAAGCTGAACTGACTTACAATCTCTTGCCGCATGCGCCTCAACTCTATGCTTGCTTCCAATGAAGTTGAAAATAGTAGGGCATTCAAGCCAGCATTCAGCTCCAAAATCTCGGTTGCATCTTTAGCAGTTATCTACATTCAGGCACATGCGATTACAACAATCACCACTGGAAGGCATCAATTATGAATAAATTATGCAATGGAAACTACTTACATGCGTTACACCAGCAGGTAATGGTAGATCAGGGCTATCTTGTCCACGGGGTATCCGCACAAGTTGACTTCCATTATCGGCGGCCCAGCTTGGTATTCGCACTGACCATGGCTGAGGAGAGATGTTTCCTACTGTTATATTGGCACCTTCAGGAGTTCTATGTTCTCCTTCCTGTGGAATTTAGGTATCATTGGATCATATTTGAAAAATTATATCAATTTAAAGCATGAAGTGTAAGTTCAATGAGGCGTGTTCAGTGTAGAACGTACCGCTTCACGTAAGTCCTCATAATGACGATACCTTATGTACTCATCTCTGTACTGGGCATAGTCGGATGAATTTGCAAGCCATTCTAAAGCTGGGTACCCATTAAGTGCTTCCTCGACTTCTGACTTATCAGTGAGCTTATAATCAGACAGCATTGTCCTCGGTGGAATTTTGGGTACTCGAGGTTCTGTGGTGCATAAGCTTTGCATTGCCACTCGCTCTCCCAAAAACCAGGCAGACCCAGCTGGTCCCTCTAATAGGATTCGTTTACGGGTTGTTGGCACAGTATTTTTGACTTCATCCGGCATCTCAGATTCATTGGTCCCCCATGGGTTCCAATTTACCTGCAATATACATTGGTTACCTTTGCGTATGATACTTTGTTTTGGTAATAAACAAGGCTATGCTCAAGAGTCAAGGCTTTATACCTGATCATTTGTTAGATGTCGCATCATCACTCGAAAAT